ACACACACACACACACACACACACACACACACACACACACACACACACACACAGGCCTCGCCACAGCCAAAACGAAACAAACTACGGGCTGCGCACCCGTGCCCTCACGGTAAGTCAATTAGCTTTACCCGTTTCCTTCTCCATTTTTTCCCTATTTTTGTTGTGCATAATGGGACGCTGGACCCCGTTTCCAGCCAAGTCGAAGCTGGGTAATGGCTCCAGTAGTCCGGGTTGATATGTGGGAGGGACTCCCAGCCTCCTTTTATGTTTGGCAATCTATATGCATAATTCCTGCCGAAAAAAAAATAAAAAAAATCTTGGTTCCTTTTCTCGGATAATGGTGAAGCTGAGTCACAGCATACTGGGTAGGACGTCCCTGGAAGCATCCGACCAAAATCACGGCTGGCCCGCTATGTATATGACTGAGATTACGTCCAAAGAGTAGCAAAAAAAAAAGTCCTAGTGTGACGATGCCCTTAGTCCCTGAATGTAGTTGATGACAACAGATTGAACTTGCTTTGCTCCCAAGTGTCGCATGGGGTGGATAGTTGGTCAATGCTTGTGTCCTTCTTGGGGCTGCACCTGTTGTTTGATGTCCTTTCCTTCCATTATCGATGTCAATGTCCTAGCTATGGTCGATGCAATCAATAGTTACTACCCTCTTCACCCGAATAGAATGCCCAGTCATTATCGCTGCATCTGGACCGAAAGTTGTGCCAAATACAGCTATAATGACCGGGCGTTCTATTCGGGTGAAGACTGTAGCTCACAGTGATTGACATGTTGTTGTTTACAGAGGGGAAGCAGATACGACAGCTCTGACTTCTGAAAAGGACTTGGAAAACAAAAAGAAAAAAGCAGTGTTGCATACCCCGACGGTCGGCACCCCTTGACTGGTCGGCACCTACCAGTCAGGGTTCGTCGGCACCCCGCCAAAAAAATAAAAGAAAGAAAAGGGAGAAAAAAATAAGAAAAATCTGGGTTCAGAACCCCCAGTAACCCCACCAACACCCCCATACCCGCCCCCAATACCCCCATAGACCCCCTCAACACCCCCAAAACGCCCCCTAACACCCTCATACCCCCACAATA